TTAAAAAATCCCGAATCTCAATGCGGCCTAAATTTTAATATATATAATTTAATTGATTATACAATTATTTATTGCAATTTTTTTAAATTAATTTTTTGCCTTTAAATTATTGAAATAATCAAATTTTTGCCTCAATTAGTATATGTAGCAATGACAAATTATTCATTATAATGTCTCATAATTCTTTAATTTTCAATAAATTTTGAATTATTTGCAGTTACTCAAAGGAAAGTAGTTGCAGTATTTTCTACTCGAAAATGAACAATTAGTTACTTTAACAACTAGTAAATATATAAAGAATTGTATCATATAATGTAAAAATAAAAATTAACTCTAAATTCACAATAATGGTGTTTTTAAATTAATAAATTAAATAAATATAAAAAAATAAAATATTGATCATTCATTTGAAATTATAAATTTTACCTCTATTAATATGCATATCAATTAAGTTTAAGAATGAAAATCTGTATAAAATCTCGCAAACGATTTTTTAAATTAAAATAGCACTTTATATTTAAAAAATATATTAAATGTATATTCGCTTGAGTGTTATAATTAATTTATATCATTAGGTTAAAATAAAATATGACAAGAAAATATTTTAATATTTAGAAATATTGTACATATTTGCTCTTATCGAAAAGATAAAAAGCTGTAAGATAATATGACAATAACAATTATTTATATTTTTTGAAAAATGATTTTAGACCTCAAAACATTTTTTGTAAATTTACAAAAAAATGTTAGAAAAATCAATCTTAAGAAGACGATAATTTATAAATATTTTAAATTTTATTTAATACTTGTCACCAATACTCTTAGTGTTTTTTGGTGAAGAATTCCTTAAATTTATCACACCAATATGGAGAAAATTAACCCAATTAAGTGGCGATCGTAATGAAGCCTTCTATTTAAAGCAACCTATTACGATGGCTATTCATCAAGTAATTGCATTGCTGTTTTTTAAATTCTATATATATATATATGTGCTATACCTTTATAATCGTGATTAGTTTTTTATATGACTTTTGTTTTAAATTCTAGCAGGCCCCACCTTTGGCTGGAAATATAGCAAACAAAATTTCGAAACTCGTCAGTTCATAGCTTCCTTTCGAATTTCAAACTTAGTTTTGCAGCATCATCGAAAAATCATACGTATAAAATTGAATATAAAATATATACCTATTGAAAATATGCTAAAAATGGTAGTCTTGTGATAGAATATATGTATCTGCCGAATCCTTTTCAAGTTTTAGATGGATTTCATCAATAACATCAAAGATTGAGAGATATTTTCCTACTCGATTTAATTAGGTTCATAAATTCTATGTAAAAATTATATATGTTTTGCTATATGCTGCTTGACATTTTGGTGAATAACAAAATGGGATTCTACTTAACCAAATCCTTTGAAAAGCCGTATTTTTGGTACAGAATATTTGAATTTAATTTTGGTCTAATATTAAACTCAGGATTTTTGTAGAGTAGTAGCCAAATGACTTGATCCAAAAAAAAACTCATTCAGTATTCGTTTAAATAAATGAAGGACCGGTCGAAAATATAACGAGGAACTTACTTTGAATACCATACGAAATCATGTATTAATGTTTTAAGTGTTGGGAAGGATGAAAATAAATAAGGGATAATATAGATATAAAATAAATGTGGAAGAGAATTGTATCTTCAAAAAATGAAAATCGCTAATTATGCATTTCTATGCTTAAGGCACAAAAAAATCTCCTTAAATAAGCCACTGAAACCAAACAATCAAGAATATTAATTTAAGTTTGTAATGTAGAGAATTTATAAACATTAAAGAAATTAAAAGCACAAGTAACGGTGAGAATAAATATTAAGGTATAAATTATTACAATTTAGTTATAGTAGAAGAAAAATAAATATTATTCAAAAATTTATCGCTTTTATTTCCTCACGTAACTCGAAGAATTGAAAAAAAAATTTCAGATAGTGTTGTTAAACGGCTCGATTTTAAAAACGGCCAACCCAATATTTTAGCCAAAAATATTACGCAAGCCTAAAGATTTTGCTCACAGATAGCAGAACGGTTTTGACATCTGTTAACGAAATCGCTTGCATAACATTTTTTGGCTATAATATTTGGTTTGCCGTTTTTAAATATCGCTCCGTATAACAAACAATACTAGTTTCAGAATATAAATTTTTTTTCTTCAAACAATTTTTCAATTTTTTTATTTCTTTTTTTTCGTTTGAAATTACTTTTTTATATCATATAAATAAATATTATATCAAGCATTTTTTTTAATAATTTACATGTTTTTGCTGATATAGATTTTTTAAAATCTAATCTAATCATATTCTCGACTATTTTATAATATCTCAATACCGTATTTGTAGACATTTTTAAATTTTATGCATGTACAATTTATACAATATAAATATAAAAAAAATAAATAAACCTGACAGAATTGATTTGACAATCGCTAGGCGGGTGATGTTTAAGGAGATTATAGTATATAAAATAGGAGCTAGAATTAGGTATCTTGACATTGGAATCAAAACTATTACTCTTAAAATCCATAAATTTTCGTCTAAAGGGAATCATCATATATTTATTATATTATTTTTTAAAATTTTTATTTTACAAAATTTAATATTTTAAATTAATTGAAAAGAGAAATCAATTAAGATAAAATAAAAAATTTTCTAAAAATATAAAATAAAAAACAAAAAACACATATAAAATTTTAAAAAACAAATTTTTTGGTAAACATTTTATTTATATTTTTTTTATTATACTAACTTTTTTAAAGTACAATTTAAAAATATCTATTAATTTTTGTTTTGTTTAAATTTCTTATTAAATTTAACTCTATTTTTTCTATTATTTTTTCTTATAAATATTTATAAAAATATGGTATTAATTATATCAAATCATCCCCATAAATATAAATTGGAATAAAAATAATTATAGTTGCAAATGTGTAATCTATTCATTCTTATAAAATATTTTGCTTACCTTATTTTACAAATTTATTATCCACTATGATTTAATATAAGCTGATTTTTCGTAATTACACCTTTCCCTTAAATTAAATATTAATCCAAGAAAATATCTAAGCTAAAAACGTCGTATTATTTTGATTCTATAAGTTTAATACCAAGATATATAATAAATTTAATATAATGGATTTAATTTTTAGTGATTATTTCATAAAAAGCACTTAAAAGAAAAGATTTTAAAATACGCTGTATTATCCAAAAATCTTTCATTTTAAAATCATTTATTTTATACGATTTTTAAATTTGGGAAAATTTGATATGCCCAAAAATGTATTATAGCATTTCTTTCTTTCTTTCTTTCTTTAGAGTCAAGGTGCTTACTTCATAGGGACAGCAGGGCTCTCTCCCCATTTAAATGTTCTACAAAATAGATATTAAAATATGGATATAACACTCATACTAGAATATGTTGTCAAATCACGTTTTTCAAATTTAAAAAATTACCATTAGTAAATTATTTAAAATTGAAGGATTTTGAATTGCCACTGATTATATTGTATTAATTCTATATTTTGTAATCATAAATTATAATTAAAGATTTTTTATTAAATCCCCCCTAATTATTTGTCAATCCTGTGAAATTTTATCATTTAATATTTTACGCAATGTAAATAATAGAAATTTTGAATATTGGTTAAAATTATCATTTCACTTGACATCCATTTGTAGGGTATGGAAATCAGTTTAAATTTCATTGTCGTTTCACATTTAAATAAGTGCAATAAATTATTAAATTATTTGAATAAGTTACCAAGGTGTGTAAATAAGATTATATGAACTCTAGAATCTGCCAATGAATTTATAATTAATCCATTTATTTATGTGCTAACAAGTTACATTGCTCACAAAACCATCCTTACAATTTCATTAATTATATATATATGCTTCTCTTTTTAGAAAAAATCATAAATCATATATAAAAGTAATTTATTTTTAAATATAATATATAACTCCTCTGAGGTTTTTTCATTATAATGATTTGAATAAATAAAGTAATTTGAATAGAATTTAGGTAAAAACTGCTAAAAAATACTTGTCAATCAAATTATTGGTTTCCTTTCGTATCTGATGTTGAGAATGGTCTGTAATGGTAATGGTATGATAAGAGTTGTAGGACCTAACCCTATTGGATGTTATGTTCTGAGGGATCACAGAAAAGCGCAGAGAACAGATATATAGTAGAAAGAATGAAATCTAACGATTAGGATTATTATTATATAGTTCAATTTTCCCCTCACAAATTGGGAGAATATTAGCTAGCCTTTTTTAAAATTGATTTTCCATAGATGATCACCACCTATCATCACAGATGAAGGGGAGAAGGCTTTGACTGATAAGATCCCATCTTTATAATTTTTGGAGGTTTTTTTTTTCCTAAAAGTGTTTTCTTTCAATCGATTTTTTAAAATTAAAACAAAACCTTCCTCAGACACTTAAAAAATAATTTATTTCAAAAAAATTTCCCATGCTGTTGAATAAATGAAATTATTTGGTATATTATATGTCAAGGGTTTGGCAAATTCAGTATGCCTTCATAAGCCCGGGTTTTTAACAAATTTTAGGAACTTAAATTATTTATGGCGCGACTTTTTTAATTTTGAAAGATCTAAAAATTTTGTAGGCTTAGTAATTTAGCATTACAGCTTGCCAAACCGATTTTTGTAAAATCAGCTATAACTCCTGTACTCTATTTAGATATTGAGAAGAGCAATATATATGTCGTTACCTATAACTACACTCTATAAAGAAGTCTTGTAAAACCTTTTTTAAAATTGATCATATTTTTAAAATTTCATTTTTTTAAAAAAGTGCACATTTTCCCCAACGAACTCCAATAGAGGGTAAAGCAAACGACTTTGTGGAGCTTCTTAAACTATTAGCATTTTTATCTTATAATGAATTGAAATTATATATTTGTGAATAGTATTTTTTTATTGTTCAAGTTATCAAAATTGAGGCGATTTATATAAAAATTGGAACAGTTTTAATTATTTTTATAAATATTTTAAATACATGAAAAATTTATCAATTGAATATGTTCCATGTGCCCATTCTGTAGCATTCTGCATTGGAAATAATAAAATTTAATAAATTTATATAAGAATAACTAGTCAACTAACAGGTAAATTTCAATATATTATTTACCTTATTGTTAAGGTATATCCAAATGACATATTTAATACCTAGACTGACGATTCATATTAAAAGTGTACATCAATGCAAATCAGCTGGAGATCCATCTTGGTTACACTAATCATTATTAAAATTTTAAACGAGAGCCAAATTTATTTCTTTATCTGATGCAAACTTTATTAAAGAATTACCGGATCATCGAGATAATAAGGAAACAAGTTATCAATTTAATAATAGTTTTTAACATGAGAATTCACTATATGTACCAAAATGGCGGGTCCAGCTGATTTGCTTTTAACGCTTAAAAATGCATTTTAATGAATGAATCGTCAGTCTAGGTATTATATATGTCATTGGGTATATCACACCAATATATAAAATGATAAAAAAATAAATTTATATCTTTTTAATTGAAAGACCATAAAATATTTTGCTAGCTTGAATTAGACAATTAGTTATAGTTCTTTCTTCATCTTTGAATATTTTATTTTTATTTTGATCCACGCTACTAAATGAGCCAGTTTCTTGCTATTAAATAGTCTCATAAAATTAGATCCATGTGTATGCCTAAAATAAATACCAATGAAATATTAATTTCAATTTATATAAAAATAATTTCATCTATTCCGTGAAATTTTTTTCTTTATTTAAGTGAATATATCTAATATGCTATAGGATAGGATAGGTGCTTTACAATATAATGAAATATAATCCGGTAAAATCAGAATTTTTAAATTTAAGAATCGCCCTCTGCAAATGAGTTGAATTTGAGAGGTTGCAAATCCACAAGGATTGTGAAACCCTATAAAACCTAATTTACAAAAGTTAGTTATGATATAAACGGCATTATAAATATCTAATCCTTATCATTTCATATTTTAATAAAAAGCAGATCTTGCTATCTTATTAACAACTCTAAAGATAAATGATATATTTAAAAAAATTAATATTACACATTAATAATTAGTAAATATTAAGATAATCAATTATAACCTTAAATAATTTCACTCATTTGGACACCTTTATAGGTGGAGATTAGTAAACCATCCACCCTCCAACTAGTAGGTCTACACAATAATAGTTTAAAAATACCTAATGGTATTGCCTTAACACATTGGCCTAATCTTCCCCTATCATGTAAACCTTTTTTTTTAATTTCTCAACAAAATCAAATAACTCAAATTTTGCTGGCCACCCCCAAAATCTTAAAAGACCATACTGGGAGAATATATGGGGATGGACCTTTCCATTTAATTATAAGCCTCGGGAAAAAATAAATGTAGATACTGGAGATCTAAGTTTAAATAACAGAGGATCTCTTTAGAGATCTGTCAATCTAACTTCCTTAGCATCGGCTCAAGTTCACGATAAAATAAACTCAATCGATTTGGAAGACCCCACCCCTATTTTTTAGAAATGATTAATTTAGTTTATTTCTTACAGTCCCCTTTTAATCATTTCTTTTAGCTACTCTTTTAGAAAAAAAAATTTCAGTCATTTTTTTTAGAAATATTTTATACGCTTCCATAATTCTTACAATTTATACCTAATATTATGTTTTTTATATAATATTTTTGTTATTTTTATCCAATATAAATATATATACAAATCTTTTTAAGTAAAAATAAAAAAGAACAATATATAACAGAGATCGGCAGAGGTACCATTTGCACGACCCGATTCGAGTTTTGTATTTTCAAACGGCCCGATCCGGATTTTTAAAAAAATATTTTATTTTTAACTTTTATAGATAATAATGGCGATTTAATATATTCGGCCTGGCCCGGGTATTCTTAAAAATATTTTAGGCCCGACCCGGGTATTTAAATTTTTCTAGGCCCAGTCATTTTAATGTGGGCCCATATATACGGGGCGCGCCGGGCTTGCAGATCTCTGATATTTATCATTTATTTTCTTTTTTTTTAAAATTGTACTTGATGATGTTCCATAAACCCTTTTGTATTTTAAGATTTCGGTGTCAAAGATTGTTATTTAATTTTTTTATTTTTTCATATTCTGCAATTTAAAAACTTGTCAAATTATCTTTAGCATTAAGAATAAATGCCAAAAATTATGTTAGTATATTCTTTAATAATTTATACTATCAATGAGTCAAAAGAAATCCTTATAACTGGTCTAATAGGGGAATTTTGGAATGACAATGGTATAATTAATCATAATGGTATTATGGTATATTAAAATCATTTAATAAAATTAGAAATATTATTAAAAAGTAAAGGATTTTTTAGGGGAAAGTCCCCTACAAATGATTCGAATACTTTTCTGACCCAAAATAGGAAGAAGATATTCTTATTAGAAGAATGTGGAAGACGTACAGGCTGATATTTATAAACTTTTAAAGGCTGTTTTAGCCGCACAAATTAGTGTGTATAATATCTTTTTTGCCCCTGAAATTTATTTCAACCCCGCAAGTCATAGATGATTGATGAAATATTAGAAGATATTTTAAGTGTACATTTAAATAAAAAATTTAAATGACTATATAAGTATATCATATTATAGTAAATATATAATTATACTATTTTTCATCTAGATTAAATCTTAAAAGAGTTTTTTGGTCCAAATTAGCTTATATACGTAGTTTAATCATCATACCTTGCTTTTTAAAAAATTATTTTACAAAAAGAATTTAGGGAATTTATATTTCTGTCATAAAAAATAGTCTTTTTAGAATATATTTAAGGAATTATCACTTATCTCACACACACTCCGACCAAACTAAAATGTGTTTCTTAACCCTAAAACCGAATCAGACTTTTAAAAAAAATCAACCTGAATTCATAGTAGAACATGAACCCGGCAAGTAATATAAAACGGGTTCAAACCCCTGAACCTGAAGAAAACCTAGAGTGAATAAAGTTTGTATATATAGATCGTGGGATAAGAGATTTGAAGTAGTTAATCAGCTATAAAAAAAATATCAAATGGTATATCGCTAGTATTAGGTCTTATAATAATCACTTAAAATAACTAAAAATGGATCAATCTATATTGAATTTAATTTCAACTATTATTTAAAATATTTGTTTATGTATATATATTATGATGCTTTACATATAATATTGCTAAACTACTCAGCTTGGTTTGGAATCCAACTAGAGTCCTCTGATTCCATAAATAGAATTAATAACATCAAATATTTAAAAAAAAATATATAAATATGTTTATCTTAAAAAATATTGAAAAAAATATACTCCTCTTTCTTTTTATTCATTTATACCTTCAAATCACTTTGCATTGAATGAAATAAATAGGTATAGAAAAGGTTGGTGAAAACGAAAGGTTCATAGGAATTATATAAAATAAAAGTTTTTTAAAAATATTATTATTTATTTTAAACCCTTTGGATATTGCGGGCAGCGACGTGTTAAGTTTTTATTCATTGCAAAACAAATCTAATAATTAAATATTGTTATTCATTTACTTTTTCTTATTAGGCTGTGCTTAGAATAATTTACACAAATGATTATTTTATAATTTATTTCAGTTATCACATTCACGCTCTCGTCAAATTTATTTTTTAAATTTATTTATTTATTCCTGTTTTTTTATTACCGATAATATCTTGTTTGTTTCAAACAATACAACTAATTATTTATATAATTTAATATTGAATATGTTTCTTTGATTGATGAATTTTCAACTATAGATGGACAGATAAAAATATTTAGATTAGTTAAGATTTTGTATTAATTTAATTATATGCACTGTATCTATATTTTTTTCTAAAGTACAATTGTTTATAATGAAAATACATTTTCTTATATAATATCACACTCAATTAGCTTATAATATAGAATTGATATATAGAAGGAATAAAAAATAAATGCACAAAATAAAACTGAATTTTACATCATATACATTATAAATAAATTTAAAAAGTAACATGAAATAAATTTATTTGGCTGACAGCACCGATGATCGATACAGCCTACTATCAGTATTTCATGATGGTCAAAATCTTTCTAGATGATAGCCTGAGATTACTTATAATTCTTAGTCTTTGTTGGGAAGAAATTATTATTTACCAAAGTAATCAAAAATGTTGGAGAGTATTAAATTACAGTGTTTGATAAATTTTTATATTTTTTATTTATTAGTTTTATTGATTTTCTCTTTGATCATGGAATAGAATCTAAGAGAATGGGTAAATCAACACAGATTTTGTACGACTAGTGGTATTCTATTTCTTCGAGATATGTAGAATCATAAGTTTCAAATAGAATGGCTGAGTGAAAAAATATAGTGATTGTGTTTATCATAGGGTAACGAGGATTTTGGAGCAACAAGCAATGGAAGGAGTGATTAGCTATAGCATTCATAGATAGCTTGTAGAAAATACAGGTAGGCAATGTCACAAACAATGAGGGCAAATATATTCTGATTTGCTTATTTGATAAAAGCAAACTAAGGTTGAAACTCAGAATCACTTGCATGTCTGATGGAAGGAAGATCACGATATCCATTATTCAAGCTCTATAAGGAAATACTGCCACCAAGGTTCTTGAGGTAAAGGAATATCGAAGAAGAATATTTTATGTATTCAAGGTTTAACCTTTTGTTGGGTAAATGAAAGTGGAAAATAAGCAATTCCGGGCGTTTTTTCCAAAATCAGAAGGTTATATTTTGATGAGTTTTTGCAAAAAATTTGTAAAGTTTTATGATCCAATGTCATTTTACATGTGAGAAGAGAAAGGAAAGCTCAAAGTTAAATACTCGGAGAAAAATATATATAATAACAAATTTGGTTGAAGGAGCTGCCTGCATCTATGGGATCATAGGTGTAGCTAGGATTTTGCTAGGGGGAGAAGGGATATTGGGTGAATTTTCCCACATAATTGTTATTGTAGGTCTTTAGATACATCTATTGTAGTCGGCCTTTGACTATGTTATATCTTTATAAAAATAATCTTGGTTTTTCAAAAACTGTTTTTTTCTAAAAATTTTCAATTCGATAAATAATCTTTTAGAGATAATTTTTTTACTCTAATTTCCAGGTTCATTAGTAAGCAGTGTCTAGATTAGCGGGGGGGGGGTGAAATATGACTCCATATATCTCTCTGTGGTGTAAAATTAGGCTCCTAATGGGGTTTGGAGTAAAAGAAATTTAGGGGTGGGAGGGGGTGAGAGGGAGTAAATTCAGGCATCTTGCTTTCAAATATATTTTCTCTAGAAACTCTGTTAAGTCAAAGAAGAGGAATGGAGGTGTAGAACGGAAGACATTAAAATCTTAGGTATATAAAAGAAGCTTCTTAGGGGATTAATTAGATAGTAAAAAATTTTTTTAATTAGTTATTATATAATCAAATTATTAAATAAAGAATCAACTGATAAAAATACAAGATTAAATTTTATATAGTTATAGTAATCTAATATTTAAAAATAAACATCATTTTATAAAAATGAGAAATTCATATCCTTCTAAATAATAATATTTTTTTTAGAGTATAATTATTAGCCAATAGTAAAAAGTACTCAATTTAATTACTATTTAAATCAAATAAATATGGGGGGTGGGGAATCGCATGTAGGCGTATCCAGAATTT